TAAGTATGGTGGATTCAGAACCAAATCTATCTGGGGTCCAAAAAATAAAAAAATTATAAAATTCTGAAAATTTAATGTTTTTTTGGGTTTTTTAAGTAAAAAAAAAATCTTCAAAGAGGGTATTTAATGCAAAAGTGGATGCCAAAAGGAGATTTTTCGTAAAAATTAGATTTTTGGAGGGCTATTTAGTAGTAAAAATTGTAGGGCCTAGATCCGCTACTGAGTATGTATGTATAGAAAAATAAGGAAAAAAAATGAAAATTATAAAAATCAGTTAAGTCGGTGTTCGAACATGTTAAATCGAAAATCAATCATCAAATCGGTTCAACTAAAAAACCGATTTTTTAAAATATTGTTCAGAGCAGAGCGGGTTGTAACTCATTCAGGGTAAAGTAAATGTTATAGTTGTCCTCCTCCGAGCTTGTTTTTTTTCTAATTTTTTTTAATATATATATTTTAAATAAAATAAAATAAAATAATAATTTGGTAGTTTGAACTGCTACCAAAAAATAATTATTAAGGAGGGTATTAAAAAAAAAAAAAAAGAGGGGAGCTACATGAAAATTTTCAGATGAGGCGTACTGTTGTGTTTTGCTCTTGAGAATGAGGCTCCGGCGAGGTTAGGGTTTTCCGAGAAAAACCTTTTTTTCTTTTTGCCGCTTAATCCTCCGATCAAGTATGAGCCGATGATTTCGACGCCAATTCTACTACTCTCTCTTTCTCTATCTCTATATCTCAAAATATATATACATACACACACATAAACATATACATCACAAATCTTCTCAAACGTCTACAAATGATAAAAAGGATGTTTGGGATTGCTTATTCATTCCATCAAGCACCTTTTGAGTTATTGCTGTTGCTAATTATTCTTCCGATGACGAGGCGGTGACGATGAAATGTAGATTGAGCAAAATCGGAATTTGGAGACCTGATCTGTATCTTGGCTGGGCAATCCGGATGGCACATATTGTTCAGTCGAGATTTCTATTCGGAAATCGACATGCATTGCAACTGCGATTGCAGCCATGACGGATTTGGGCAAAACAAGTTCGATTACAACAGATCTGAGCCTCCGTTCTACCTCGCATCCTGTTTTCCAGTCTAGGTATTTTTTTTTTCTTTTTCAAATCCATATTTTAGCAAATGCTCCTCTTTCCGATGAACTAGATGCCAATTTCATTAATATTTAGAATACATAATCCTCAGAACTAGTGTGACTGTTGATTAAAGTGTAAAATAGATAAATTTTTCTCTTTAAAATCATAGTGACTGAACGAAATATCATGTTGCAGCCTACATTGTTGTGATATAATGTTATAAATAAATTGTTGTTACAATCCTAGAATTTTCAGCAATTATCAAACATATGTTTTCTCTACCCATTTTGTCAAATAGAAAAGTAGGTCGATATTTTGGTTTAATTTTTTTGTTTAGTTTTGTTTCATAGTTTTATTACCACAACCACAATATGTTTTCATTTGATTGTTAGAATGTTCGGCAACAAGTTTTTGGGAACTTGAAGAAGTTTTTTCTTTCCTTCTAAGAAACAATTTTCTTAAAAATTTCATTTTAAACAAATGGGCTTTTGGCAAAAGCTATTATGTTATATTACATCTTTTACCAGGTTACATCTTCTTTTGTGAATAAAAGCTCCAACTATCTCCCATGGAAGCTACTAGGCTATAATGTTGCACTTATATGCTAGTTTGCCATACATATCCTATATATCAAAGAGTAAATTACAGAAATGGTCCCTATGGTTTAACCAAAATTACAACTTTGGCTCAACTTTGCTTAGTTTTGTTACATGCTCATCCATGTGGTTTCATCTTCACAAAGCAATCAAGATGATCAAAAAAGTAAGCATAATGGTTGGATCCTTGTAGACTATGACGATAAAAAAAATTATTTGAGCAAAATGAGAATATCTTGGCTGGGCATTCCAGAGGGCATATCTATATGCAACTGTGATTGCAGCCATGGTGGGTTTAGATTACTCAATTTCCCTTGATCACAACAGATCTGAGCTTTCATCTACAAAATCTAATGTTGATCATTAGTAAAAGGCAACTGCAAGTAATAGCAATGTACTTCATTGATTTGTTTATTATCACATGCTACTTTTAATTATTTCTATTGCAACACTGTGCTTTTGGAAATTCTATCCAAATAAAGCAATGGTGGTGGTGGTGGACTGGTGGTGATGATGATGATGATGATGATGATGGTTAAGTTTACGGAAAATCTATCCAATTAAAGCAATATTAGTCATATTTTAATGGAAAAGGCGATGATGATGATAATGATGATGGGTGTATTCTAAGAAAATATGAAGAGACATTGAAGATTGATTCTTTGTATCTTGGCAAGGCAACTTCTTGATGGCAAAGTGAGAAGTAACTTTGCAACTGTGTGTTTGCAGCCATGGCAGAGTTCTTCATTTTCTTTGTCATCATTCCCTAATTACAGATCTGAGCCTAAGGATTTTCCTGTTATACTTTCTTTATTTTCTTTTCTTGAAGTGATTATCTTTATATGTTCATGGTTTTTGGGTTTTATTTTTTTTCGTGTGACCAAACAAAAATGATAAAAAGTTTCAGTTGAATGTAATTTTGGTGTTTTTTTGCTGTTTTACGTGTCTCACTTTCACAATTGGTTGGTGCGTTTCAGTTCTTTATTTTAAAAGGGTTGTGATTCTTGTGTGTGTTTTTGGTGAATGTTACTTTTGTTCAAGTTCTTATCTCTTTTTGATGAATGTGTTTTGCTTCTGTTTTAGTAATGCTGTTGAAATTTGGAAGAGTTCAGTGCCATTGCTACAAGGCTTCTTGTTTTTGCTGATCTTGCTGCCCTTGTGGTTCTCCTTAGGAACTTTGTTGTTCATTGTAATCTTGTTGCATTTTGTCTAGTTTCTTGCTTGATTATATATGTTATAATTTTTTTTTTTTCCATATTTATAGTTTTTAAATATGCAAACCAGAATCAAATATATGCCTATACAAGACAGATAAATCGTTATCTTATTGCAGGCTTATGTTAATGTTTTTTTCTTTGACTGAATGCAAAATACCATAAATCATTAAAATTAGGCTTATGCTCATTTGGTTCTTGTATTGTTTCACCATCATTAGATGAAGAACTTATTTCATCTTGGTTTCAAAAAAGAAAACCAAACGTTATATAATTGCAATAAAAAATAGTCACAAACTTGCAATTAGTAAATCAACCTAATAATGTAGATTCCATATTTTTCTAACCAATTCATTAAGGCTATATTAGGAATATATCAATTACAATTAAATTGAATGATGATTTGTTAAAATTTTAGTGGATAGGAATAATTGTAGGCATAAAAGGTAGGAGGTAATTTAATTTACCATGTAAATAAGCCTAATTAACCAATCGATTATCTGATATTATGAATGAAATATCCTTTTTTATTAAATACGGAAAACTGGTATGCCTTTATTTCACGTTAGAATGTTAAGCTTTAGCACGTATACCCATAATATATATATATATATATATATATATATATATATATATATATATATATATATATATATATATGGACACAAAGTAATTTTTTTTTGGGATAATGACTTCAGAGGGTAACATACTTTTGATTTTGATCACATTTGGTCACTGAAACTTTTTTCGTGCTCTATTAACCCTTTAACTTGTTGATTTGTGCAAATTTTCCCATTCCGACTGGTTTTTGCCGGTTTCAATGAATTTATTGATCCTACGTGTCAGTTTTGATCCTAACTGGCATCTAGGGTTCTTGTTATTAAAGGAGGGGCGTTTGTTGTTCATTTATTGTGCTCTAATACCCTGTTGCCCTAATACCCGATGGCTTCCTCCTACAGCATCTCATCCTCCCTCAATCGATCAAGCAAGAAATCCACAGTGAATGATCCAAAAACTTGTGATTGTGGGTTCCCTGCACGTATTCTAACATCAACAACACCAAAGAATCCAGGGAGGCATTTCATGGTGTGCAATGAGGTAAGCAATTTCACTTAAATTTCCCCTCTTTTCTGATTCATTTATTCCAGATTTGAAATCTCACTCTGAAATTTTATTGTGGAAGGGTAAATGCAAATATTGGAAATGGTTGGATGTAGAACTTGTACAGATGCCTCTGATGGAAGTGGTGGAGGGAATGAAAGCTGAATTAGTAGCATTGAAGACCGAAGTAGAGAAGGTGAAGGAAGACATGGAACAGATGAAGAAGGAAAAGTACTCTGATGCCATTGCAATGAAGGAGAAAATATATAAGTTTACCATTGGATTTCTTTTTCTGATCATCGTGTATATGATGAAATGAAGTCACATGATGTATTGAAAGATGTTGTTTGAATAGAATAGAGTTGTTATCTTAACTTCTTGTTGGAATGGAATGAAGTAACATTGATTGTAATGGAAAATTTAATTATAAAGAAACATACATATTAACTTTGATTGGAATGGAATCACAAAGAATGGAATGAAGTAACTTTGACTGGAATGGAATCACCAAGAAATATTTTTGACTGGAATGGAATCATAAGGAAGCATACATATAACAATGAATACATATTTGATTTTGACTGGAATAGAATCACAAAGTAACATGCATATAAAGAATTAGTTTTGACTGGAATGGAATCACAAAGTAGCATGCATATAAAGAATTAGTTTTGACTGGAATGGAATCACAAAGTAGCATACATATAACAAATACATATAATAAAAAAAGTAAGTGAATGTGGTGGTTGGATTCATTGTAATACGCCATTAATATTCTACAGTTATATAAGTTTTTGTCTGCATACACAAAAGTAGTTTCTAGGTAACACAAAAGATTCCTACATAGACAAAAGAAGGGCCACCATGTGCCCATACACCTACTTGATAGTACCATAGAAAAGCATAATAAAAAGACTACTACTTTGTCTTTACATCACAACTGCCTTACAAAAGATATTCCTACCCACCCACTATTATCCCCTAAATTAATCAATAACTGAAGGGTTATCTGCATTGCTCCCAACCCCAGGTATCTGCCTCCTTAATGCTTGTTTGATAATCCGTTCAGAATATTTCCTCCTTCCACTTCTACTAACTGGGACCCTTCTTCTTGGCATGGGGGCTGCAGGTGGTGGTGGTCCTTCATTGCCCCTGGATAAACTTGGGTCTGCTCCACTGCCCCTGGATGAACTTGGTACTGCAAACAAAAATTAAAATGTCAATTCTTTGTTCAAATGATGTAATTTTTTTAAAAATATTCACCTGATGTATTGCTTTGTTGGTTAGATGGACACTTTTTCTTGTTGTGACCTAGTTCCTTACATATACCACACTTTATTATGCTACCCCTTCTTGAGACAGTTTGTCTACTTGATCCACTCAACTCTCGTTCAATTGCATCCCTCTTCCTTTTCACAGATGGCCTACCAGGTAATCTTTTTCTTTTGGGAGGCAAAGGCTTATGGTATGGAACATCTGGCCACATTTCACTACTATTGAGAGGATTAATGCTATATTTGTAGCATTTTAGGTAAGCCTTAGTAGTGTATGATTGGGACACATATGCCTCAACATCATGATTTAAGTAAGATATTGCTGCCACTCCATGTAAGCATGGTATCCCTGTAAGTTGCCATATTCTACAGGCACACTTCTTTGCAATTAGATCCACTCCATATGCAACATCAGTGAATCTAACCTCATACTTTTGATAACCACAAGGAGTAACTCCCCACAATCTGTTTAAGCATATTAACATCAGTGAATCAATAACACATCCTCATAATTAACATAAGCATATTAAAGTAAAATAATTACCTCTGTTTAACCTTCAGATGTTCTATACGCTTCCTAATAGTTGGACATATAAGCAAATCCCATTCCATTCCTTCAACTCTTTGAGTGTATATCCTTTCCATCACAAATAACCTAATCTCCTCCAGCATAGTGATTATAGGTCTCCTTCTAGCATGCCTAATAGCAGAATTGAAACTCTCACTGACCCCATTCTCCACTGCATCACAGTCTCTTCCTTCTTGAAAGAATGCCTTAGACCAGGTAGTAGGATCTCTGTCTATAAGGTAATCATAAGCATGAGTATCAATAGATTTGATGTTCTCCATTACACCTTTGAACTTCTCCACAGTACTAGCCCTTACAGCCCTCCAAAATAACTTTATGTATTGTTGACCAGTAAACCTTTTATTAAAATTGGCCAGAATGTGTCTAGCACATTGTCTATGTTCAGCTTCTGGACATTTTTCCTTAACTGCTTGTAATAACCCCTACAAATCACAACATCATTATGAGTGAAAAAGCATAAAAATGACCTAGTACTAACCTTGTGTCCATCAGAAAGAAGGGTAATGCCTGCACCAAGACCACCATTAATGTCATCCATAAGCAAATCTATGAACCACTTCCATGTTTCTTTATTCTCAACACATACCACAGCCCATGCTAAAGGGTAGATGTGGTTGTTTGCATCTCTCCCAACAGCTGAAATAACTTCTCCTCTAACTATACCCTTTAAAAAGCAACCATCAAGCCCAATTACTGGTCTGCACCCTTCTAACCAACCATCCCTTACAGCTTTGAAACACACATAAAACTTAGAAAACAAAGTTGTGGAATCTGGCATGATGTCTACATCCAATCTCACAGTAGACCAGGATTTGACCTGATAATTTCCTCACCATATGACCACAATCTCCCATAATTTCAATTAAACTTCCTTCAATCTCTTGTAATGCAAATTTCTTTGCATTTCTGCATTGCCCCACACTCACATTTATGTTGAATGTTGTTGACACTTTAGCTTTCATCTTCCTTGCACTCATTTTTGGGTTCTCTATAATTTGACTCATAAAATGTTTCCCTATCCATCTATAAGTTACAATTGACCCAAACTTAAACACCCTACAACAATTATGTTCATTCACTAGAGATTTGATCTGAAAAGTCTTTTCTTTACCCATCCAGGAGGCCCATAGTCTGAAAGGGCAAGATGGTGACTTATTCTTTTTGCAACATTTCACTAACAATCTATCAGAGTCATTTTTTTCAAACCATAGATCATACCCATTAGCAATTGCATAATTGCTTAACATATGTTTAAGCTCAGTAGGGTTACAAAATCGCATACCTATAATTGGTTTCATCTGATCCCATGGCTGTCTCTCATCATACACAGGGTACTGGGGTGGCACGTATTCATCATCTTGATCTTCACTCTCTATAGGTTCACAAAGGATGTTTAAAAATCTATCACGTGCAGTTTTGTTTGCTGGAAATGGATAGGTAGCATCATCTTCTTCATGATCAACAGTGAAACGACCCAAAAATACGACCCGAAAATTTTTGTTTTTAATACCATCAAAACTATAATTAGAGTATCATATAAATAAACCATGCGTGATATGTCCCAAAATATAATAAAGTACTGTGCGGAACTGTAACATACTATATCGAAAACAACAACTAAATCAAATCCAGACTAAAGCTGAAACGGTGGTGTGTGCGAGGCCGTCACCCAGAGCTCTTCCCTTTGCTTGCGGAAGTACCTGAAACCAAAACTGAAACTGTAAGCACGAAGCTTAGTGAGCTCCCCCAACTTACCACATACCATACAACAACATATAAACACATATTGGGCCTTGCCCACTGCATCGGGCCGGGGCCCGGAAACTGCATCGGACCGAAGTCCGGAACTGACTGGGACCTTGTCCCCTGTATCGGACCAAAGTCCGGAACTAACTGCATCGGACCGAAGTCCGGAACTAACTGCATCGGACCGGAGTCCGGAACTGACTGCATCGGACCGAAATCCGGAACTAACTGCATCGGACCGGAGTCCGGAACTGACTGCATCGGACCAAAGTCCGGAACTGACTGGGACCGTGTCCCCTGCATCGGACCGAAGCCCGGAACTGACTGAGCATAGCATAGCTATCATAACAAACATACTGCATACTGCATCGGGCCGCAGCCCGGAACATAAAACACATAACACATAGCACATGAATTATGTCTGAACCACGAAGGCATCAAACATACTAACTACTACATCGGACCGAAGTCCGGAAATACTACTAACTGGACGGGCCGGCATTGTGGCCTTAGACCCGCCCCTACGGGAAGGAAACTCACCTCGTAAGCTAGCGGATGAGTGTGTGGCTCGGAAAGCTAACGGCTGCTGCTCCTGAATCTCCTCGGCTACAAATCCATAAACACACTCAATCAATCACTAACACTACACTCAGGGTAAAATGACTCTTTTACCCTTGGTCAAAGTTGACTTACTCAGGACTGACTCGCCGAGTCGGGATACACTCGACTCGCCGAGTCCTAGACTCTCCGCTCAACTCTTACACGCTGATACTCGTCGAGTGTGGCATCGACTCGACGGTACCCTCTGGATCCAAGAACTCAGATGATCTTCATCCGACTCGCCGAGTCAGATGAACAGACTCGACGAGTTGTTCTTGATCCCAAGAAGATTGCCTTGGACTCGCCGAGTTGTATGAACAACTCGCCGAGTCCCTCCATCACTGAGTCTACTCTCAACTCGCTGAGTCCACTCCCTAACTCACCTCGTCCACTCGACACTGACGAAACTGAAGAACTCGGACTCGCGACCTGACTCGTCGAGTCGTTCTTCCGACTCGCCGAGTCGCGCCATGCAACATATTTTTACTCGATTTCTCTTGAATCCAAACATGCAAATGATAGATCTAGGTCCATTAAGCTGTTTTACCACGTAAAGTTTCCAACTTTACGTGCACAACCACATGAATGAGGGAAAATAAGACTAAAGTATGCACAATAAGGGTAGATCCATGGCTAATAAGCAATGTAACTCCAAAAAGGCAGTGGATCTGGGCTCTACAACACCCCAACACTCAGATCCAAAGGTATTTCGACTTATTAACACATTCATGCAAACATAAAGCTTGGAACAACATCAAATAGCCCTTAAAATAGCTCTAATGGAAGTTTAAGCATGAAACCAGAAGAGAACTCCGAAAATACCTCAATAAGTTCACACTTGACCTTGGATCTTGGCACTAGAACTCGTTTCCTTGCTTCCTTCTTCTTCTCCTTCTTCACCCCTTCACAAAATGGAACAAGATCACTTATAAGCTCACAAATAGAAGGTTTAGGGTTTCTCACGGTGCTCTCAGGGGAAAAGTGACGAGATGGAGGCTATAATGGGGTTTAAATAGTGAGCAAACTCGGGGATTTAGGGTTTCACCCAGACGGACGGACTCGCCGAGTCCAGGATATGGACTCGCCGAGTCGCCGGCTCCCGCGTGCACAAGATGCGCGACCCGACTCGGCGAGTCAGGCTAGAACTCACCGAGTCCCTCTTGAAAACTTAGCCCAAAATCAAATTAATTAACATACCGGAAACGGATCGTTACAATTCTCCCCCACTTGACTCAGACTTCGTCCTCGAAGTCTGCTACGGCTGGATCTGCGAATAACTCCGGGTAGTGCGTTCTCATTTCTTCTTCAGCCTCCCATGTCCATTCAGACCCCTTCCGGTGCTGCCACTGCACCTTTACCAGCTGAATTACCTTGTTCCTCAAGGTCTTGGTCTTCCGTTCCAAAATTGCTATCGGCTTCTCGATATAATTCAAGCCGCTATCAACCTGGATGTCCTCCAAGGGAACGACTGCTGTCTCGTCCACTAAACACTTCCTCAACTGCGACACGTGGAAGGTGTTGTGTAACAAACTGAGCTCCTCAAGAAGATCTAACCGGTAAGCAACCCGACCCACCCGGGCCAAAAACCCTGAAAGGACCAATAAATCTGGGACCCAATTTGCCCCTCTTCCGGAACCTGATGACACCTTTCCAAGGCGAGACTTTCAGAAGAACCATGTCTCCCACCTGGAACTCCAAGTCTGAACGCCTCTTGTCGGCGTAGCTCTTCTGCCGACTCTACGCAGTCTGCAGTCTACTACGGACCTGCTGGATCAGTTCCGTCGTCTCGAGCACCACTTCGGTGCCCCCCATGACCCGCTGACCGACCTCGCCCCAACAAATCGGGGTCCTGCACTTCCTGCCGTATAACATCTCAAAAGGAGGTCGATCAATGCTCGCGTGATAGCTGTTGTTATACGAGAATTCCGCTAAGGGAAGATACGTATCCCAACTGCCCCAAAATCTAGAACACATGCCCTAAGCATGTCCTCGAGAGTCTGAATCGTCCTCTCGCTCTGCCCGTCAGTCTGAGGATGAAAAACGGTGCTGAAATGGAGACGAGTACCCATCTCGTCGTAAACCGCTTCCAGAATCTGGACATGAAGCGAACATCTCGGTCTTGACACTACCGATACCGGCACTCCATGACGTGCCACAATCTCTCGCACATAGATATCGGCTAACCTTTCCGCCGATATACTCTCCTGGATCGGAATAAAATGGGCACTCTTCGTCAACCGATCCACCACTACCCATATCGAATCTACTCCACGTGCGGTCCTGGGAAGTTTGGTGATAAAATCCATGGTGATATCCTCCCATTTCCACACGGGAATATCCAACGGCTGCATCTTGCCGTGAGGTCTCTGATGCTCCGCCTTGACCTTCCGGCAGGTCAAGCACCTCTCAACGTACCAAGCGACGTCCCGCTTCATGCAGGGCCACCAATAATCAAGTCGAAGATCTCGATACATCTTCGTCGCCCCTGGATGGATAGAAAATCGAGACTTATGAGCCTCGTCCATCAATACCTGTCGTACCCCACCCCAGTACGGTACCCACACCCTACCATGAAGCGTCATCAAACCCCGACTGTCGTAATTGAACGAAGCTACTCGGCCCACTATCCTCTCGCACTTCTGTCTCTCCTCCTTGAGACCCTCCATCTGAGCCTCCTTGATCCGCTCCAACAAAGGAGTGATCACCGTCATCGTCATACACAAATCCCTGATAGGGGCCGCCGACACCTTACGGCTCAGGGCATCGGCCACCACGTTGGCCTTCCCTGGGTGATACAGGATCTCACAGTCATAGTCCTTCAGCACGTCCAACCATCTCCTCTGTCTCATGTTCAAACTCGGCTGATCCATAAGGTATCGTAAACTCTTGTGGTCCGTGTAGATAGTACAGCGGACCCCATAAAGGTAATGCCTCCAAATCTTGAGGGCAAAAACAACTGCCCCCAGCTCCAAGTCGTGGGTAGGATAATTAGCCTCGTGAGGCTTCAACTGTCTCGAGGCATAAGCCACCACATGGCCTCGCTGCATCAACACTGCTCCCATACCTGTGATCGAAGCATCACAATA